ACCTCATTCAGTGGCTTGTGCTTAAAGAACAAAACGAAACAAAACAAAACAGAACAAAACCTGCCTGCATGGCCTGAAATCCCACTAATAAGATACTCGCTTAGATTAGTTAACAAGCAACTTGTTTTTGAACTGCACAGAGCTGAGTCTAGCTTCCATCTCTTCTGTGTAAAGATGAGGTTGGATCTACTCTGGAACCACTGTAATTAGATACTAAAATGTGGGGTCTGGAAGCTCTAAATCTAGCCATGTCTGTAGGTGATTCTGGTGTGTTTTGAGCACCACTGACCTCAGTTAAGACTGCTAATGTTTTGTCTTTTTTTTTTTTTCTCCGGTACCAGGAACCAAACTCACGACCTTGCGCTTGCCAGGCAGGCGCTTTGCCGCTGAGCTAAATCCCCAGCCCCTAAGACTGCTAATGTATTCACATTTGGGGGTGAACTAGTTCCATCTGTCAATTTTCTTCTGGCCTCTTCACTGATTTCTGTTGGGTGGAAGAAATGAGAATCCAGGGCTGGGGAAGGAAGTGTGTGGCTCTGGAATTAGAACACACTGGGACTCATCATGGGCTTGGTTGCAGCTGGAGGTTGCAGTCTCAGTGCCTGCCCTATCCCTCTCCTTTGGGGTGGATCTGAAACTTGGTGGGACTCAGATGGAACTGGCTTTTGTGAGCTGGAACCAGATTCCTAGGGCCATCAGGGCTCTTGTTGGTAGCCTCCCTCTGGATTCCCAACAACTGCCTTTCTGAGTGGACTCCTGAGGAAAATTTGGTTCCCTTGAACATGGCAGAAGTAGAGTTGGAGGGGGAAGCCTCCAAAAGTGAGGTAAGGGGACTCCTGCATTGTGTTCCAAACCAAATTTTCCTTCTGTAGGACTAAGCTTTGCCATGGACGCTCGGCAGAGATGAGAAGAACTCTGTCTCATCCCACAAATTCAAAATTCCCCACACAGTAGGCCATTTCTTTGTGGACAGGCAGAGGGAATACCCCAAGCTGGGTGGGCGACCAGCAGATGGGCTGCTTTGAAGCAGACATGTACCTAGTAAAGCTGTCTGGCTTTATCAGCACAGCAGTGTCCTGCATCGCTTGGAGGCCGCTAAGGAACAAGCCTTATTTATTCCCTTATAGCTTTCTGTTTAATTATCAAAGAAAATCTCTTGGGGGTGCTGTGCTCCAGAGAGCAGTCAAAAGGTAAAAGATGACATTTACAACAATCCATTCTTTCCTTTCTCCACTTCACTGCTCTATTGACTTTTCTTATTCAATCAAATCCCATTTATGGCTACACATCCTATTTCAGGATCTGCCAAGGTGATGGATATCATATTCTTTCTAAACTGTGCTGATACCTTACCACTCTTTTCTTCCATGTCCCTAGGCTAAAAGTAAAAGGTCTGGAATCCCCCGTGGGGTTCTGGTGTGGTTCAAGTACACTATCCTCAGTTAAGTTGTTCAGGCTGTGTGTTTATTCATACTTCACGTGAATTAGTTTAATCCACCCATTTTCAGAAAGGTGTGCTAGAGTCTTCATTTTGTTCCTAGCACATGGGAGCCGATTGCTTTCCCCCTTTCTCCTGATTTTATTTTTCCTCATGACTTCCTAACCAAGACCCCAGCCCAGACCTCAATAGATAGATTAGCCATGCTGTATCTGGTTAAGAATTGTGGCTACATCAGCCTTTCTCTGTCATGGCCTTTTTCATGGTCTTGTGGGTCGTATAGGTTCCTAGGAGCTACACAGAACAGCCTGGGCAGTGGAGATGGGCAGAAGCACATACTGTCAAATTCTCAGTTTACTGATTACTCTGCTGCCTTGAAAATTATCTTTGTTTCTCCTGTTTATTCCTTCACTCTTGTTCACAAAACATTTACTGGGGAAATGCTCTATGCAAGGTTCTGTGCTAGACTTGAGACATAGGAGGGAATACCAGCCCTGACTGTCATGGAGACTGTCCTGGTTTTAATCTGGATGTTCCCCAAAGCCTCATGTGCTCATAGGCAGGGCTCTTGGAAGATTCTTGGACCATGGGGGGCGGGGGGGACGACTATAGGTAAATGTGATGTTAGGAGGCGGGGCCTGGTTGGAAGAGGTGAGTCACTGGGGCCATGACCTGGGAGGATGTCTCTTTCTGGTTCTTCCCTTTGTTCTCTGCCTCCAGACAGCTATAATGTGAGCAGCTCTGCTCCACAGCAGGACCTTCTACCAGGCTACTGCAAAGTGGGAGTCAGACGACATGGACTGAAACTTCTGAAACATGAGCCAAAACAAACTTCTCCTCTTTTAAGTTGTGGCTGTCAGGTATTTTGTCCCAGCAATGAGGAAAGTGCCTAAGATAAAGGGTAAGAGCCTCTGTTTATTGGCTGAAATCTTCTCGTATCCAGTAGCAATGTGTCTCATGATGGGTGGATGCCTTCTTCCAGCACTTCTACAGCAAATTTGCTTTTGAGTGAGTCAAGCTTATCCCATTTCTTCAACAGTTAACTGCTGAGTATTGGAATGATGTAAAGTAGTCCAGGCTGGCTCCACACTGCTCTTGACCTGAGCTGGTGGGCAGTTTGTCAGCGAGGCCATGCACAGAGATCGTCCCGCAGTGCTGAATGATTATCTAGGTTCTCTGCCTGCCGTTGATCCTCTTCCCACCCCTTTGCCCCATCTCTGTTATCATCACTGCCATTTACTGAAGGCTTATTATAACCCAAGCACTGCTTGTATCTCATTTCTTCTCCTTTTTTTATGGTACTGGAGATTGAACCCAGGGCTTTCACACTGAACTACAACGCCAGCCTTCTACCCCCTTTTATTTTTATGTTTAATTTTGAGACAAGGTGTTGCTGAGTTACTAAGGCTTGAACTTGTAATCCTCCCACCCCAGGCTCCCTGAGTAGCTTGGAGATCCATGTACTTGGTTCTTAGAAACAAGTACCTTCTCTTGATGGGTGATTTATTCAGAAGCAAGGTAAGCTGAGGCCCTGCTGCCAGGTGGAATTGCTCAAGGAGATTGTGTGACTAAGGCTCGGAGCCATTTCTAACGGCTCAGAAATGAAAATGCCAGCCACTCAGGGCTTCCTGGTGACAAGTGTCAGTGAGTGCTTAGTCCTACTGGTGTCTTGCTGTGCTTTATGAGATTCTGGATGGAGGTTGCTGAAGACAAGGAGATGTTCTAGAAATAGGATCGTCTGGGGAAGGACATAGCTTGCAAATGCTCTGTGGCTAGATATTTTCAGAAAACTTCAACCTGTGGCATGTGGGTTGGACACAACCAGATTAAAATAAAAGTATTTTTAAAGAAAGTTTTGTTATCTGTATACATTAACTGTATTATATATTTTATATGAGGCGCAAGACAATTCAACTTCACACAGTGCAGCCCAGCCCAGGCCAGGCCACAGGTCACAGGTGAGACATGCCTGCTTTACACAAACTACTGCATTTATCCATGAAGCCATTATTAATAAAGCGGGACATCTTACTTCCATTTTACAGGTGAGGATATAAAACCTCAGATAAATCAAGTAACTTGGCTTAAGGTCCATCAGATGGTAATTGCCTGTATCAGCGTTCGGCTCTGCCAAACCCTTTCATTAGACCCTGCTTGGTGCTAGGGGTGAACGTCCAGGAGAACACCTGGCATTTACCACAGGAAGGCAATTTTGATCACTGTGGACATGGGATTGGTGAGCTCTGTCTCCATTTCCATGCAGGGAATGCCATTGTAAAAGCTGTTTTTTTTTTTTTTTTTTGGTTTTTCTCCGGTACCGGGAACTGAACTCACGACCTTGCGCATGCCAGGTAGGCGCTTTTGCCGCTGAGCTAAATCCCCAGCCCCTAGGGAATGCCATTGTGTTGCGCTTGTTGCTTGGCCAGCTGGAGTCCCCATTGCAGCTATTTCTAGACCATGGTATCAGTGGTTTTTCTTACACCCCACAAGTTCCCTGCTTCCCTTGCTTGGCCTCTCTCTCTGAGTACAGAGATGCACAATATCGCAAGATGCCCATGCACAGGCACTGGAATGCCTAGATGCCCAGCCAGGCATGGACAGCTGCTGACCTGTGCCCACTTACAGACTTACCTCTATGTTATGTAGACATAATTTCCCTAAGAGTTCCCTGGAAGTGTTGTTGAGTTCATGGATCTGACTCATGAGAGACAGCAGATGGAAAAAATTTGATTGATAAATTATTAAAAAATCCTTATTGGCTCTGCTGAGATGTATGGGATGTTTCCATGTAGTCTCCCTCAAGAGGTCTGCTATGCCCAGGTTTTATATTCTGGCAGATGGTGGTCAGGGCAGCAGCCTGTCTTAGCCTTCTCCATACCTGACTTCCTGTACCTTCTATTTAGTGATGACACCTTGTCCTTGCCTACCCTCCTCCCATTCTTTACCTTTCTTCTCTCCTCAGTCTCTCTCTCTCTCTCTCTCTCTTTTTTTTGTTTTTTTTTTTTTTTTTTGGTACCAGGAATTGAACTCAGTACCTTGCACTTGCCAGGCAGGCACTTGTGCCCCTGAGCTATATTCCTGGCCCTTTCCTCAGTCTCATTTCCCTTGGATTACAATTCCTGCTTTAATGAAGTGCAGGCAAGCAAGTTTTGCCCAGGGTTCTATTTTCTAGAGAACACAGGATAAGATGATAATAATAGTAATTTTTTCCATTTATTGAAGGTTTCCCATGTAAGTTATACTATCTCATTGAATTCTGATATTATTGCTATGGAGCAGGTATTATTATCATCCCCATGTTAAAGGCTAGGAAATGCAGTCTCAGAGGAGTTAAGGAATATGCCCACGGCCATACCATAAAAGTAGTAAAATGAGGGTTTAATCCAGCTCCTCTGTTCTTCTACCTTCTGAACTTGCAATCTAAGCCACCCTTGAATAAACTTGCCTTTAAGCTTGAGAAATACCAAAGAAGCCCAAATTTTGCAAGAAGCCACCTGGAAAAGACCTCCAAGGATTCCCAGGAAGTCCAGGGACCCTCAAGGAAGAGCCCTGAGATACTCACGTTGTAAACGCTGGGTTGTACTTTGCACCTCGGTAGTAAGAGTACAGGTTGAACATCCCAATCATGAAGGCCACAAATACCATGATGAAAATGACCATGAACTTGAAGATATCTTTCACAGTTCTCCCCAGGGAGATCTGCAGGGGACCAAAACTCTCATTGGCTGGCAAGATGTACGCAATGCGAGAGAAGCTCAGCACAACTGCTATTGCATAGAGCCCTTCCGATATGATCTGAGGGTCTGAAGGCCACCACTTGTCCCTGGCTAAAAGAAAACAACCAGGGTTAGTCACAGGGGAGGAGGGGGGATCTGCTGTGGAAGAAAACCAGTTAGGCATCTTTCGTGGTCTGCAGCCACACATGACTTTTCATTTCTACCTTGCCCTTGGATTAACCCCAGTACTCAGAAGGTGTCACCCTCTTTGACTATGCTGTTCCACCTGCCTGGAACACCCCTCCTCACTTCGTTTCTAGTTATCCTTCAAGACTGCTCCGGCATCACCTTTTCAAGTAGGCTTCAGTCCTACCACAGGCTGGGCAGGATCCCCATTCCTCAGTGTGCACCCATGGTAGCCTGGGAACATCCCTGTCATGGCATTTGCCACACTGCTCGCTATGGTGTCCCCTTAACAGTGTTTAAGCGGCACATACAGGATCTATCCCATCTCCTGGAGAAGTAGCAAAGGGAGGTGTTTGGGATAAGAATGGGAATTAGGTGGTTGGGATAAGTTTGGAATTAGCCAAGCTCACATGAGAACCAGGAATCTGAAGGATCTTGCTTAAGAAAATACCTTTGGGTTTTGTTCCAAGATACCATGTGTGGAGAAATTTGTCTCCTGGTTTAGCTAAGGCCCCCCAAATGGTGACCAGTCAGGCAGTTTTGCCATGATGGCTCTGTTCCAGGTGAGTAAGAGTCCTACGCCAGTCCTTAGCTGGAAAGACTGCATGTGGTCAATGGTGACCACTAGAGCCAGAGCTGCCCTGTGGTAGCAGAGTAAACCTGTAGAGTGCTCCTTCTTCAGTTTTAATGGTGTGAGGCATAGCATTTGTCAATAATAATCTGCCTACTATATCTTAGGACACTCAGAGAGTCCAAATGGGGGCAACACCTCTTTCCTAGGGAAAGAGTCGGGGCTGAGTGGTTGTCACAATGACTGGGTCGGAGTATTATTGGGATGCTTAATACTTTTCAATGCTCCAGACAGCATCACACTATGAAAATCACCCTGCTGAAAAAGTCAACAGTCTCCCTGTTGAGAAATGCTAAGTGAGACTTAAAATGAGAAACACTGAGAAATCTAAATTAGCCCTTACACTTACATTAGCTGTAATTTTCACAACAACCCTGTAGAGTAGATATTATTATTGCCATTCTAAGGATTGGATTTGGGGTATGGGGTCCTTTTCAGAATGCAGTAAGTGCAGATAGCAAGGATGTTACACAGCAATTCTTGGAACCCAAGGGCGATGGAAGAAAAATTTTATTTTTTATTTTCAAAGGTAAACTCTACTAGATAATTATAATAATAAAGCGTGATAAGGAACCTTTAGTAAGGGAAACTAGGCCACAAAATTTCATGTGGCACATTTGAAATTACATTTGGAAATAAAATAACATTATAGCCTCTATGTTCTCATCAAGGTCATAACTCAAAAGTTCATGAAGAACAAGTAAGGAGAATAAATTATGTGCTTTCCAATATATCTGTCACCCTTTATTGATAAATAGCACGTCTGAATCCCATGAAATAGAATCTGGTTTCATCTATTAGACATATACCAAATAGACTGTTTTTCTGCCACCTACAATTTACTATTTCAACCTCAGCTATAATAATAGAAGCCACTCCTACAATCTTGCAGACTGAATCATGATATTAAGAAAAATATCTCTCATCTTTCCCTGATGAATCTTGATTGTACAATTAAGATAGATTTTGCTGTTTTCAGATCCTAGTGACCAGACTGGGACTTTTAGGAAAAATATTTTGTTTGGGTGGGTTTGTAAGAGTAATAACTGGTGTAGGACAAGCAGCACTGTCGTGATTCAGACAAAGGGAACTCCATTTTGGAGCTGAGAAAAATTGTCTTCACACAAACTGAAAATCTGAGTCTGCTCATAGTGGAAGTTTGAAGGAACCAGCGTCTATCTGGCCACAAGAGGGCTCTCTGCCCCTGTTTCTGGGGCACCAGTGAACACTAAGAGAGATCAGAAGACTTCCAAGGGCACAGGGTGAACCACAAAAGCAAGGAGAATAATGTGCTATGCTTTGGGTTGGGTAAGACTTCATACAATTCATAAGGGAGCAGAAGTCACAAATGGACAATATTGCAGACTGAATCATGATATTAAGAAAAGTATCTCCCATCTTTCCTTGATGAATCTTGAGTAACAACAGAGGTGAAAACATAAGAATTCATTTTACTGTAAGGTCTGAATGTGCTAAATGGGGAGAAGATTATTTCTAACACAAGACTCGCCATTTCTTAATACAGGTTTTGCTATCACACTTACACATAATATAAGCTACATTGAAAGTGGGCAGCAAGTCAAGTTTTCCACAGCCATTCTTCTACAGCTCATTGCTGTACCTGACCACAAATATTCTGTGGGCACAAGAATCATCCAGTTTCTAAGAGAAATTTGACACCCAAACCTTTCAAGATGTAACAGCTGCCATTAATGAACGCTTTCGAAGTGTCCAACTACTTTTTACAACAAAGGACTGCTCTTTTTTTCAGCTTCTTGTATATCTTTCTCCACCCCCTCCCCACCTTGCCAGTATTTGTGTGAACTGCATGCCCAGCACAAGCCCCCCCGCCCAAATTTTTCTGAGTCAGGATCTCTGTAAGTCTCTAAATTGCCCAGGCTGGGCTTGAACTTGTAATTGTCCTGCTTTAGCTTCCCAGAGTGCATTTCAGTTACAGGTGTATGCCAGTATACCTGGCTCATCCTTCTCTCTTACTACAAAAAGTATTTGTAGCAAGAAAATGACCCAAGAGGTAGTATTGATAATTTCTATTATTATTTGGTAAGCATTTACTACTTTCAGGACATAGTGTAAAACTCTTCACACGCACTATTTTATTTCATCTTCAAAACAAACTTTTTGGCATAGGTTATTATTATCATCTCTATTTTACATGTAAGAAAATAGAGACTCAGAAAAATTAAGTAAACAAGGTCTCACAGTAAACAACAGAACCAGAATTTGAACTTTGGTCTCCCAAATTCCAAAGCCTGGGGACATAGCTACCAGGTCATTTGGAATGACTTTCAATCAATCTCAGGCTAGGATTCCCTGCTATATCAGGCAGTCCTGTATTTCTGGAAATATAAGCCCTGCCAAGAAAACCTGTTTCTTCAGCTATAAAATGGGAACAAGCAAAATAGACCAATTTTGCAGGGTATTGAAAAGACTGGAATTTATGTATGTAAATGTCTGCACCATTCCTGGCAACATAGTAAGCCCTCAATAAATGGATGCTATATTATTCCTAAAATCTCAATTTACTATCTCAAACTTATAGGCCTTGAGGCTTAAAACAATAAAGTTATTTTAAGAACCTAGCATGCCGCAAGAAAAGAGTTTGTACACTGGGAAAGTAGGACTTTGTACAAAATAGAAATATCCAATATGAAAGGAACATTTTTTGGCATATACATTCCCTTTAGTACTGGAGCCGCATCAAGAAAAAAAATTCTTTCTAAAACAAAACCAAAAGAACTATGGAAATGTCCCAAGAACCTTTCTAAAACTAACTAGTAGATAAAAAAAAAATTTTAATAACAAAAAAAGAGAGATTCATTTCGAAGTCACAAATTAATTATATATTGAAATGTCTAAAATTGGCCACGTCACAAATTACAGAGTGTGACAGGAGCCTAGGCAAACGGTCTAAGACGAAGTCCCAGAAGCGGCTGGGACAGAACACAGCTGTGAGACGCCCCATCTGACTCACCGTAGGTGAAGTACGCCACTTCCGGCGGAAGTGAGACGTTTTGCAGCGTGTCGTCCTGCACGTGCTGATCCACATACAGCTGGGCCTCGCTGGCCTTCAGGAAGGCCATGAAACGCGCAGTGAAGGAGGCCACGAAGATGGAGAGCATTCCAAAATCCAGCAGGTTCCACAAGTGCAGCACGTACTCCCGCGGCCCTTCCTCCCAGATTTCTTTGCATTCTGACCAGATCATTCCTGTGAGACAGACGGAGAGAAGGCCGAGCCCATTTTTCACTTTCTTCGGCATTTGTGACCACAGGAGAACACAGACGTGATCAGGGTACAAATGAAAATGTCAGCTCTTGGAAGCTGAGAACGCTGATACGCAGAGGTAAACTGAAATGTGTCTAAAAAGGCAGATCTGTAGAATTAGGATATCGTCAGACTCTGAGAAGACAGTTCATGTCTGTTCATACAGACAGACCATCTCCAGAAGTCAGGAGAGAGTTCTCACCCATTCACAGAGTCTTGGAGACATAGGAGAAATATGGTCGCTGGCACTTATACACTTTAAGAATTGGAGATCTTAAGCAGTCATTCAGTTGTAAACTAAATGTAGGGAAATTGAGGTCCAGGAACTTCTGAAGTCCTGCATATGACTTAGAACCGAGTTTTCCATCAATTTTTTTGGTACCGGGAATCAGACCGAGGACCTTGCACTTGCCAGGCAGGCGCTCATGCCACTGAGCTATATCCCCAGCCCCAGTTTTCCTAATTCAGAGTTTAGAATGCTTTCCAATGTGTTTCTGTGACAGTTTCAGTGAGCTTCAGTTTGGGGTTTGTTTGTTCTTGATGGTTTATTTTTATTTCTTTTTAAATTTTAAATGTTTATTTATTTATTTATTTTGAAACATGGTCTTGCTATGTAGTTCAGAGTGGCCATGAAATCACTATGTAGCTCAGGCTGGCCTTGGTCTTGCATAGATCCTCCTGCCTCAGCCTCCCCAGTGCTGGGATTAAAGGTGTGTACCTCCACACCCAGTCTAGTTTGGGGTTATTATATTTTGTGTTTTTATAATTTACTGATTCTTAAATACATGCCCTCATTGTTACATAGTAAATAAGAGGCATCTAAACAAAATGTTACTAGCTCCCCATGCTTCTTGCAAGCCAGCTCTCTGAAGTGGCCTGGGCTTACCATGTAAATATCCTCCAATTGGAGACCTTTAAAACTGAATTCTTACCATTCAGGGGGTGCTGTTAGTGAATGTTCTGCCAGTGTCCAAGTTACCACATATCCCATGCTGTCCTATTTATGTCCCCACCATTACTGTTCCTTCAGGTCCTGTGTGTCCTGCCTTCAGTACACTTTTTGCAGTCATGACTCCTTTGGCTTTCAGTACAGATCACCAGTTCTGCAGATCCTCTTTGGGTAGACTCTTACATCCATCTTGCCCTTTCAGTTTTTCTTATGTTGTAAAGTATAGGTCATGTCTGCAGACAACTGCAGTGTATTCATAATAACCCCGAAGTTTCAGACTTCAAGCTAGAGTGTTGAACTTTCCTGTGATCATTAACTATTTCCATACATCCTGTACCCCAGCAGAGGAGGTCAAACCAGTTGTCCCCCAACAGTTCCACACTCCAACCCTTTGCTTGTACCTTTCTCCTTTTTTGCTAGATGTGCAACCCAAGCACACTGACAGATTCCACTTTATAATACAGTTGTTTTGGAGGATCCAGCTGCTGAAAAAGCCTGGGAGCAGACAATGATGTGGGATCTACCCTGGCCAGAGGATGGCTGACTTTGTTACAGTCCACCTCAGAGCACATGAACTGACTATAATAACTGCACATGAGGAACGACCAGGAGACTGAGCTTTTGGGGAAGATCAGATTTTATTCCTCTACCTACTGGCAGGCTGACATTGCAATGTATATCAGCAAATATCTGAAGCAGGGACTGAATATATATAGGTTTGAAGGTTGGTGCAATTTAAAGAATCTCAAAAAATCTGGATAACACGTTTGAGTTTAAGGCTGTAAGGGCAATCAGTGCAGGTTGGTACACAGAACTGGCCTCCTGGGACTGTGGGGTGACCTTAGCACTATGTTAAAGTTTTTATTGTCCTTGTTTCTTGTTGGGGCATGGGCAAGCTATTGCCAGTAATGGAGAGTCCACTGTTTGTAGCGGGCAGCCCAGGTCTCCCTCAGGTCATTCTCCGGCCAGTTCCAACACTGACGGCCTCCACTCATCTGAGGCTTTTCCCAGGAAGTTTTAATCAGAACTTTCCCTTTTCTGGCCAAAATGACCCATCACATAAAAAGGTTTGAAATGTTTTTCTAAAATGAAAGGTAATTTGAAAACAGCTGTTTAGAGAAGAGTCATGGCTTTGTTTTCTGAAGTTCAAATTAGAGTATCTACAATAGGAAAGATAAACCTTTTTTCCTTAGCAAAGCCGCTTCTCAAGCATGCCCTACCAAAATTTGTGGGATAATTCAATGAAGTCATAATTTTATAAACGCTGAAATATACTTTCATCCGTGCCTGTTAAAACAGACATTTACAAAGTCTTATTAGAGGAACCATTATGGACTGGAAAGAATGTTTGTGAAAAAAATGTTTGTTGATTTTCTCTTCCTTCCAATTAAAATTCTTTTTTTTTTTTTTTTTTTTTGGTACTGGAATCGAACTCACGACCTCATGCTTGCCAGGCAAGCGCTGTGCTGCTGAGCTAAATCCCCAGTCCCTCCAATTAAAATTCTTAATGTCTCTGTGTAACTGCTTTTAGCTGAGCATTAGGAGAATTACAGGCTTTCACTTATGATGATTGGCTTTAATTCAGTAAATCCTAGGTTGAAGTTCTAGCTTGACCGTTATTGGCAGTATGACTTTGGATAAATCCCTGATTTGCTATTTTATGTTGCATTTTATGTTTGCGAATATTATGGTTACAAAGTGTGTGAACAAAGCGCAATGAATCTGATACACAAATTATTTACAGAAGACTGACTTTTCTGATAGGTACAGTAGCATCTTACTGGGCCTTGCAAATCACTTCCTCCATGGTTAAATGCCTGCATCAGTCTTCCTAGATTTGAATATTAACTCACCTAGACTAATTTAAATTATTCCAAGGCCATGAGTAAAAGTAACAGGGACCCAAGGGTTTGAGCAGCAGGAATGCTTAATGAAAAAAGAAATGTGTGAAATTAAGTAGTGCAGTGAGTGAAATTAGGCCCTCTGCTTCCAAAGTGTCAAGGGCAGTTTAGGACTTTATATGGGAGCCAAGTCCCTGTTCTTTTACCTTCAGCATGCCAATCAGAGAAGTGTTTAGAGCCCTGGGCCTCAAGGGACAAGGATGCTGACCACTTACACCTCTTTCAGGAAAAATTCCTGTACTCAAGGATGCCTGGAGTTCAGAGAACAAGGTCACCAATAATTAACATTTCCTGGCAGTGGCTGGGAGGCACCAGGAAGCTGGAGGAAAAATGAGTAGGGTGTTGTAGGCAGCTTCTGAGTAATGGTCTTTGGGCTGTATAGATGCAGCCTGACTGCTGAGAAGGCCTTCCTTCACTCCCATCCTGGCCTGCTGAGGGTGTTCAGAAGGCTTCTCTTCAGAATGCCATGGGTGTGCACATTTAAGGAATATGCATACTCTTCAAGTGGTCATTGCCCCTAGGGTTTTGCTACTCTGTTGCAGAGCCCCAGATCTCCCTCTCTGTTCCCTTAGGGCAATATCTCATGTTTGGCTTAGATAGCAGGTGTTCTGTGAACTCACTGGAGGAAAAATATGCCTAGAAGCTCTGTACCCACAAGCCCTAACATCCAAACACTCTCTCACTGGCAGGTCTTTTACAAAAATCTGGACTTCATACTTTCAGGGTTCATTTATCTTCTAGGTGAGAAGATGATATTAATAGTTGCAAAAATTTCCTAAGAAAGCCCCACTTCTTCCTTCTCCTCTTTTTGTTTTTTCTTTTGGTACCAGGAATCAAACTGAGGGCCTCACACTTGCCAGGCAGGTGCTGCACCTCTGAGCTACATCCCTGACCCCTGCTCCTCTTCTAATTACAGCAGTTAACAATTTTGAGTAGTTTTAGGTCTTGTACTAAGCACTTTACAGACAGTGACTCTTCATAACAGTCAGGTAGAAAGTTACTATAATTATCCCCATTTTCCAGATGAAAGATCTTCATATGCATGCAAAGCCACACAAGCAGTCCAGGCTCCTTGCTGTCCACTGCGCTATTCCACTGCACGCCCTGCTAGGCACAGGCTTATTCTTATTGGTCAGGAACTCACCCACCGATCAGATACTCTTGAGTCTGTTACGCACCATTCTGGGGCCACAACAAACAAAATAATGTCAGCTCTTCCCTGACAAGCTGGAGACAGATGTGTCCATCGACAGTGGTGCTACCTGATGACAGATATTACAGTAAAAAATGGCCAGGGGACTGTCAGGAGGATTGGAGTGTCAGTGTGACAGTCGTGGGATCCAGTGGAGCCTTGCACACTGGGTATCTGTTAACTCAATGAAGCGGGGAGTTTATGGAGGAGGTGACCCTTGGGGTGAGGAACTGGTGAGAGTGGAGACAATCTCCTAGGGTGAAGCTGGACAGCTATGGGTGAACTGTGCAGCTAAGCTGCCTGGAGATATTAATGTAGCCAAGCTCCCTGAGGAGAATGACAGGTTTGACCCAGCCATGTATGGGTTCAATGGTGAGGTCAGTGGAGTGTAGTGGACTTGGAAAGGCCTGTGTGAAGTCCTTGCCTCCCTTGATCACCATTCATTTCCTTTCACTCATTCCTTTTGCCTCTGTAGCTTTGTTTTGTGCTGATTTCCAATGACAAATTGCCCCATAGGAGAGAAACAATGTAAAAGTGGAAACAGGGCTTTGTTCTCTTCTCAGGTAGACACTAGTCACCCAAGGGACGCTAGCAATAAAGGCACCCATTTCTCCTACTCCATGTCTAAGTGGTTTGGTTTGGGATCCAGTGCAGTCGCCTGCTTCACTAGTAGTTAGCTAGGTGAAGGGGAAGGGGCTGGCCCTGAAAGTGTGAGAGAGGAGCCCTAAGAAACTGTAAAGTGCTCAGTACTTTCAGGAAGTGGCTATAGGTGAGGCAATAATCAGGAAGTGGCTATAGGTGAGGCAATAATCAAGAAGATGCTATAGGTGAGGCAAGCAAAAGACTCTACATTAGGCCATGCAGAAGAGACTGGAGTGCTTCCTGAGCACCTGGGAAGCCC